CTGTCCATGTACCGCAATCCGATACAAAAATATCCTCATATCTTCTATAGAAATGAGCAAACGTGACATCGTCTTCTGGATTATAATTGAAACTTTCAACAGTGTTCCACACAGCCGTCTGGGAAAATGCGTTATAATTCTCGCTTGACTTCGTTAACTGTGTTGCCTCCAGAATTTTCCTCTGTTCCTCCTGTGTTTTCATAAAGATTTGTTTGACGCGTTTCTGTTGTTCCAACAACTCTTTTTTAAATTTCTTCTCACTTTCAAGTTGTCGTTGAAGTTGTTGCTTTTGCAACGCGAGACTTTGTTCCGTTTGAAATTTGAACAACTGAAGAAGAGACTCTCTTAATTCTGCGTCCATGGTATGAATTCAATTTACGCACCATACAGTTTACACTTGTATTAAACAAATCAGTTTTCCCAAGGCTTGCTTAATAAAATTAGTTTGCTCAACTAATACACAAACAAGAAATATGTATTTCTCGTAAAAAAAAAAAAACGTCGCTTTAAGGAGTGTCGACTAATGGGAAAGTCACAAAATTTTTTTCCAACCTCTTTGTGGCTTTGCACAAATATGACTTGAATTTTTAAGTCTTTGTTAAGCCCAAATGACTTACGCGAATATATATTTTTCACTCGACAAATCATTTAACTTTGAAGAGGAGAAAAAAAAAAATCTCACCGTGACAACAAACTCTGGTTTCTTGTAAAAAACAAAAAAAACAGTGAACCTTTTTTTTTTCTCTTCCGAAACACTTGGTGTCAGTATTTTCAACTATTTTAATAATTGACAATATTATTCACGTTCTCACGCTGTAGACTTTTAGTAGCAAATTTTTGGTTGTTTCTACTTTTTTTTTTTTTACGTCGTCAAATTGCTATTGTAATTAATTTGCTATTAATCCTTGCATATCCACATATCTGTTCGAAATGACAAAGGTGTTTTGCCGTAAAAGTCTTGCGAATCCTTGTATTTCAATCACTTTAGGTGATTGTCTGCAGTGATATCGTTTCGATTCCGACGTCGCCAATCTGTTGTGTCGTGGCACAATAGTAAAATAAGAAAATCAAGTCGAAGTTGGGTTAAGGAACAAGTGTATTTAACATCACAGATACAAAGGTAGGAAACGGGTACTACTCAGTTAGGCAGTGTAGTACTGTCGCTGCTACTACGGGTAGGTACTACTGACACTATATATATATAGTGAGAACCGGTGTAATTCCCTCGTGTTAGAGGCCGGTGTAACAGAATGGTAAGATTATAAATTAAATTTTATCTAATTTTATTCATATGCACTTAGAAAAACATAATTTATATTAAAAGTGGCCCAAAATTACATTTTAAGACTTATTTTACAGAAGGGATCAATATTGCAGTTTTAAATCTAAAGTTTGGTTTAAAAAGAAAACATGACGACCTTTACTAAAGTTTATGTAGAAAACATGTACACCTTTACTAAAAGTTTATTATTCTTACTACTAAGCTAAATCTCAGCACATTATTATTATTATTATTATTATTACTACTACTGATTTTTATGAGAAAAATAAAGACAATTTTGATAAAATTTTGTGCCTTCATTAGTGAATTTAACATTTTCAATAATTTTAATGCATAATCTATTATAAAGGTTTTGCAAATTTTTATTATGTCACATTATATCCAATTTCATTTCTTATTAGCATGAATTTTATTATTATATAGAATATTGTCTATTTTCAGTGCAAACATTTTTAACTGATATTTGAAGAACAAGAATAAAATAATAGGGATTCTCTTGAAATCATCAATGGAAAGAGGCTATTAATCTTGGCAGTGTGCAGAGAACAAAATGAAGATAATATATAAATTTGAAAAAGAGGGACATTAACACTGGTACTGGATATGCTAACTTTTTATTAGTATTTTTTAAAATCTTAACTTCAGTTGTTTTTCATCCTAACCAGAAGATTAGTTTAGCCAAACATTCAGGGAAAATGAGGCATAAAACAAACCATCTAGATTTGAGCTTCTGTAACTGTAAAGCAATTATCACACTAGGAAAATAATGATATAAAATTGAATCTTGCCAAAGGTTTTTTTTCTTTATTTCTGATCTGTACTATTTATTAACATCTATAGAATGAAGGTCTGAGTAATCAAACCTCTGATTACCAAAATATCTGCCAGTTATTTAAAGTACCATGAACTAAGACATTGTCTTGGAGATCTGTACATGTTGGCAGGACATTTATTTAAACTATGAACATCATCTTTTAATGTGGATGCTTACAAAAGAGTAAAAATTTTCTTTGTTAGCATTGTGGATTGATAATTGAATGTTATGATTTATATCAATAAATACATTATCCATGTCATCAATATTATTGAGTGCTAATTAGTAAAAAAATATATATTTAGAAAGTTTCATACCAAATTCAGTTTTAAATGTTGCATTATGATTATAAAGAATAAGATTAAAATATATCAAAAACTCTTATGAAAATCTTTAAAAATATTTATAAACTTCATAGATTGAAAAGCATAAAATGCATAATATTATAGAAGTATTTGCATTAAGCAGTTATTATTCAACTCTCCCCATAAAAATCAGCTCTCAATATTCAACTTGCCATAACATGACCCCATGTATACTCTGCCATAATACATGACAACATCATCACAAATAATGCAGGAAGTCAAACAGTGAGACTTTGAGATCCAATATTTATGTGGCAGGTTTGAGCATGTTGAATGCTAAAGGGTTAAACTATTTAAGAAATTTTTGTCAGTATAATTTACTCAATATTTTTAATATGCAACAGCCTGATCAAATAAAGTTGAATCAAGTAAAAAAGAAATAAAAACATGCACCATTTGAATTATTATTTAAGGATGGTATTTAGTCAGTGAAGGAGGTAAAAATTATTTTAGTTCTAGGTTCAAAATAGGAAAGATAATTTCAAGCCATTTTTTTCATTTACATTTTTGGCAAGTAGTTATGAGTTTTCATAAAAGTCCTTATTTGAAAAATATATATAAATATAGAAAATTAAAAAAAAAAAAATAAAGTGCCCAACTGGTTCACTCCATTTAGGAATGCCACAAATCAATAACAAAATAAGTACAAATTTTAAAGTAGATTTTGAGTGTATATTCTCTAATTGATTTATCAATTTCTTATTGATTGGTTTTCCAAAATAGATTGAAACTTAAGGTTGATGAGAGAAATGGCATGAAATTTTCTTTCTTATAACAAAGCGTCTGTATTTATGATGCATGACGAAAACATTTTCTATTAACAGGAAAAAGCATAAAACAAGAATATGTAGATAATTTAAGAAATATAAGGATTAGAAAAGAATAAGTGGAAAGTGAAAGATTTAGCACAATATTGGCCAACAGTAGAAATACAACAAATTCTATGTGAGAAGTGAACAACAACAGCAACAGTTTCAGTGATAACAATGATAATTATTTTAATAATTTATAATTAATCTTTTAATATGTTATAGAAATATAATTTTGATAACAATAAAATTAATAGTTTTATCAATGTTCATTAGAATATTGTTAATGTAAGAAAGCTGATCAACTTACAAAATTTATAAGACTATTGATTAAAGTATTTATTAGGACTGCTGACTGACAAGGAAATAATTCTAGAGAAAGAAAAGTGCCAAACAAATAAAATTAATATTAAAATTATAAATATACTGCATAATTGTATTGAAAGGAAAGAAAATGGAAGGTATGTTAGTGAAGATACTGAATAGATATCATTAAAAAAGAAAAGAAGATATATAGTAAGGAACAGAGAGATTTATCATTATGTAGGCCCAACAACCAATGTACTTGTTTACTGGTGAGAACCTTAACCAAGCAAGATTAATAGGACTTGGGCTCAGAAATAGTATATTTGGATTATTTTTCAGTTTTTGCCATAATGCGATAAAGATGTTTTGTTTCTGATTGTATCATTGCTTATGATGCTTTATGGATAAAAATATGGAACAAAAGGATGACATAATATTACTGAAAAATTAAATATGAACATTTGAAACTCTCGTATTAGGAGCTAGTTCAGGTGAAAAATGCACTGGAGACTAATTAAACAATCTGATGTCATATTCATTTGCTTAAACAAAATTCATGGAATTATATATCAAACCAAATCAACTTTGATATATCCATAGAATTTGTAGATGTAAATTTTTGCTAATAAATTAATTTTAATAATATTTTTATTCACCTATTTGCTTCTATTAATAGTAAGAACAAACTTTACAAAGTCATTATTTTTGGTAAAAATTGCAAAGCATTATTCGATGGTAAGAATACTAAGGAAGATTGAAATCAGATGTAAAATTGAAAAATTATACTTAATTTTTGCTGTTAATTTTGGTTGCAATTAATAATTTTGCTGCAAAGTTAAAGAGATTATGAATGTTATCAAATCTTATATGAAAAAGTAGCTTTTTACAAGATAATGTTTAAATATTGACCTTTTTGCAATATAGAAAACTGAAAATGATCCATACTTAGAAAGGAGATAATGAATTAAAGAACACAAAAAAAAAAAAAAAAAAGAAATTTTTATAGACAAGCAGTATCCACACAGAAGTAGAGACGGTGAAAGAGAAAGAGAGAAAATACTAGAAATTTGAGAATTAGCAATTAACAAGAGTTTGTTTGGCAACTCTAAAAATCTGTCAAGATTCTTGCTGATGCAAAAGAATTTTGGCTGATGGAACAAAAAAGGTAAAATGATAAAATTAAAAAAAAAAAAAAAAAGGATCATTGAATGATAGTTCTGTAGAATGATTAAGAACTTTTCTTCTTATATTTTTTGATGTCTGTTTTATATTATATTTATTTAAGGAACCTAGATGGAGGAAGAATAAGGAAAATGAGGAGGAAGTTAATATGAAGAATAAGTAAAGAATTAGACCTAAGAAGAAGACTGGCTAAAAAAATAAAGAAATATTTAAAAACTGAACTCACCCACAGGTTCTCCACATTAGGCAAGATCAATGACAAAGCACCTGTGGAGGAGATTTATAAAAAAAAAAAAAAAACTAGAGGACACACTAAGAGAAAGCTTTGGAAACAAAAGGTTGCTGGAAGAAGAAGAAGAAGAAGAAGAAGAAGCAGCAAATGAAGAAAGGAAAGAGAAAGATAGAGAGAAAGATTTGGTATTAGATGCTTCTAAATTTATAAACAAAAAATAATGAAAAGGAGAGACAAAAAAGATCAAAAGGAAAGGAATATAAATGGGGAACAGTGATGCCTAAATAACTGAAAAAATGTATAAAAATGATTTATTTGTGAAAAAAAATATAAAAGTGCCAAGAAGGATGATATAAGGAAAATATCAAAAAACTAAGGGAAGTGTATAAATGGTTAACAGTATAAAAAATAGAACTGGCAAGCCAAGTTCAAATTTTGACTGAGCCTGTTTGTCTTCATTTCACACTATTGGCAATAGAAAATGTACAAATACCTCTTTTCTAGTCACAGCTCTAAGTAAAATAGCAGGTAGATTAGCCTTAGTTGGTTAGCAGTCTAAGAGAAGGACAAATCTAAATTTAAAATGGGAGGATTAAATGTAGGACTAACAACTTCTAAATTTGCTACTGCAACTACAGCAGTATCAGTGTGGTTGCAATCCTCCCTATGCCCCATAAGGAGACTGCAGAAATAAACTACAAAAAAAAGTAAAGCTGTATTAAAGACAAACAGAAATCTGCAGAGAGCAGAGAGAAAAAGAAGGAAAGTCTACAGACAATACCTAAGCTAAATTAGGTCCTTTGATTGAGAAATAAAACAAAATAAGGTCCAGAATATGTTGAGGACTTAAAATTGATAATTTAAAAGAAAGATACATTTTAAAAGATCAGAAATGGAAGGGAGTAAACACAGTGCAAAGTAGCTGAGACAATGAAAAATTTGAACAGCGTAAATGAACTGTAGAAATAAATCTGACTCTTGAGAAGGTTAATGAAATACAGTAGATATAAGAGAGAGAAGAACCCCTGTAGAAAAACAGCAGAAAACAATAGCAAAATTATGCAGTTGTCTGATTACCTTTAAAATACACTGAATCATCTGAATATCAAAAGTTACCTGAGTGATGCAGAAGAAAACTTTTAAAAAAAATGAACCAAAAAAAAAAATAAAAAAATAAAAAAATTTCAACTTTGCTTTGAGAAAATAAAACTTAAATAATAAACAGGCTCTTTGCTTGAACCAGTAATAGATCGTTATTCTAAAATAGTGTTCAGACAAGTGAACCACTTTGTAAACTTGATGTTGTTAACATGTTGGTTCATACTTCAGCTTTTGTCAAGGTAAAAGGAAAACTCAATTACAAGGCAATTTTTCTTTCCTCAAAATTACACATCCTTTCTTCTCATCAACTACAACGTAGTTCCCAAACAGTGCAGAGCACCTCATACGTGCAGAAGAAGAAATGAGGTGAGGTAGAATGATTGAAAGACAATCAAAGATTTAGAAACAGTTTCAAAAATTTCATATACCAAAAATAAATATGATTTCAAAATTTAAAATATTATAGATTACTTGTAATTGCATGTATGAGTCCCAGTATAAATAGTTATAAATAATTATTGACTGATTTTATCATTGCATTATATCAAGTATTAAGAATATAGTAAGGTCCACAAATTGGAGGAGAGCATTATCAATGATAATGTTTTGACATCAAATCCGCGGTTATCTCCCTTTAACCTCTCTCTGGACTTTCTTTGCCATAGGGCTGTTTGCACCTTTTCATCAGGACTTCCCTTTGGCGAGGTGCAAGGAAATTTTCATCCCAGAAATGCATCCCAGATAAAAAAGAACCACTGAATTACTCTATGTTTACTCTATGGGACCTAGGCAAAAATCCCATGATATAAATGTACAATTGTATAAAATATATACAGAGGAAAAATGTAGTTGGAGAGAGTGGACAAACTAAACAAAACAAGAGGTCAGACTGGGTTCTATACCAGGGGTAGAAAGGCCACTGTCTTCTGAGTATGGAAAGCCCACTTCAGAAATAGACACTAAGTAAAATAATGCATGGATAAAAGAAAATTGATCTTTGCAAAATGAAAGTGGGGTAAGAATTTGAAAAAATATCTGAAAAAAAAGTGAGAATGCATACATCATTCATTCATCTAGCTAAGAGGTCATGTTGAATATTTTAACCAAGAAGAAAATTCAGAGGAAATGTAACCTCCTTAAAATGATATTCAATTTCTAGCTCCTTCTGTGCACCTACTCCCACAAGAAAAAAAATGCTAATTATTAAATATAGAAACTGGATTAGTTCATTTCAGCAGCAATAGGTACACTATAAATCCATTCAAGTATTCAGATAATTCCCAGCTATATGTAGAGTAGATTATTTACCCCCAAAATCAGAGATTTAATTATCCATAGTCATCCATAAACTGTTTTGTCAGCCAGGTGTTGAAAAGCCAATGTATGTTCATTCCTTCAATTTTTTCACTCTCTAGCAATGCTTCTGTCAACTATCTGGATTTCATTCCAGACCAGGTAACATGCACCTTTCTCCCTAAAGACAGGACTATTATGCCAAATTTTTCCATCTTTTCTTTGGTTATGGCTTTCATAGTTCCTTATGTCTGTCTTTAAAGAGACAGCAAATTTCCCCTTATACATGTTTCCACATATGAATGAGATATAAATGCAGTCTTCTTTAGGAGCTTTCAAAAACTGGTTTTAGAACTGAGCACCAACCTGATCTTGCAATGTTAACAAACCATTTGGATCTTTTTCAGTATATCTTTTATATATGAAATGTTTGCTGTAGTTACATGGTTGGTAGTATTGCGAGTTCACCTTGTCTTTTTTGTTTTAGAAAAAGAAAAAGACAACTGGTGAGGAAGCGGTTTTCTTTACTTAGAAAAATAGTTGTTGAGAATCACTTGGATACCAAAAACTGTTGAAATAGATTGACCCATAGATTGATATATTAATGAGCATCCTTTTTCTGTTAATATGTTTATTTTTTTTACAGGGGCGAAAAGGGTTTTACACCTGACAAAGACTGAAGAGTGAATGAGCTGAAATGTATTAACAACATCAAGTATATGAAAAAGGGGTTCAATTACCCCAAAATATTCAGAATGTTAATGATTTCTCAAAATTATAGACAACATATCTTCATATTTACTTATAATGAAAACAATATTAAAGAACTAAATAATAGTAATTAATTTTTCAACAACTTAATTAAAATGATAAGTAGAAAACAATATATAAATGGCCTTAGGTGATAAAAGTATAACTTATATAATGAAGAATTCATCAAACTAGGTTGACAAATTTGGTTATTTAGATGAAACCCATCCCATTATTGGCTACACTTTGAATTTATTTTTAAATTCTATAGAGGCAGAAATGTACTTCATCAAAATATTACAAAAATAATCCATTTCTGTTCTAATCTTTGTTGATCTTAAACTAAGCAAATTCCTCCCATTATATATTTGTAATATAATATTAAAATTCTGAGTGTCAAAGTAAATTCAAACAAGTAATTTTCAATTGCAGTAATTTATCATTAACCAAACATTCTATTTCTTATAAATAAGCAAGTACATAAGTTTAGCAAATTTTCTTTTTGACAATGTATGCCCATGAATTGGTATCAGTCTATTTTTTACCAATATACCTACTACTATTGAATAAGGATTTTAGGTTTGCAGAGCATGAATAACTTAGAACAAAAATTAGTGACAAAATGCTGAATCCAAGATGACTAACTTTATAGATATCATCTGAAGACATGTTTTTTTTCTAAATTTCATTCTATTACAAAATGGAATTGTTTAAAAGATATATTGATATAATTTTTCAGATTATGAATCACTAAAATCAATAACTATATTATCAGGTAGATGTGATATATGGTTGAAAGTGAGACCCCAAGGGAGACAACTCATTCCGTAAATGAGAGGTTATCTGAAAAAGCAGTATTGTTTCAATCTGGGAAAAACAAACCTTATCGGGGGGTACATGCTCTTGTACTTTTCCAAAATCTTTTTTCTTTCTTTAAGTACAAAGATAATTGAAGATGAGACAAGTATGTTGTTAACAGAGAATTCTGAATTAGAAAAATACTGAAACCAATGTGATGTTGGAAACAGTGCAACAATAAGGGATTCATTTGATTGTATAAAATGAAAAAATTATTAAATAACAATATTTTCATTTATTTTTTTATATAAATAACATGATTAGTATAAAGCATAATGTAAACAAAAAACTACTTTGTTTCAGATACCATATATCTTCAAGATGCAGAAAAGAAATATTTAAGAATAACTTCAAGATCCAGGTTCCAAAAGACAAATTTTACTTTTAAAATATTTGAAGTTCTATGCATTTGTAATGACAGTGTCTATATTTATTTTTGATAATTTTCATAGACTTGTTTACAAGTTATTTAGAAAATAGTTCAAAACTAGTCAGATAAAGGTTTCATGTTTTTGGACCATTTGTGTTTATTTTCTTTTATGTATTATGTTTTACATTTCTTTCTGAAAGTAAATTATCTTTAAAGCCTTTTCAAAAGAGATAAATTTTAATTAAAATAATTTTAAAACTAATTTGTGCAAACACAAGAATCACTATTAAACAGTGCATGGTACAAGTAAAACAATAATTAAGCTTTTTATCTTTCAAATGCTTTAAAAATAGTTCAGTAATTGATTTAAATGAGATGAATTAGTAAAATATTAGATATTCATTCTACTGAAGTGATTTAAAAGTAGCTATGCAAAACAAAGCAGCTGTTTTGTTCAACCTCATAAATAACAAGTGTCAAATAATCTATATTATAATAATGTAATTTCTCTGTTTACCACAGTAAAAATGGTACATCACAGTGTTGTTATTGTTAGCACACTAAAATAAGAGTGAAGAATAAAGCAATTTCTAGCCAAATTAGGCCACCCTGCTATGCTTATTAGCTGCTAATTAAAAGATTGTTTCACTGAATTTTCTTAAC